TTCTTGATCTCTCCCCTATTCATTTCGACGAAATTTTATTTGTTAAAGACATGGTTCACGGTTCTTTATCGTGGATATTTAGGTCCAGAATTTGAAGTGTTCGGTAGTTGGGTTACCGAGGCCAACCACCGCCCCTTTCACTTGCATTACTTAGCTATATGCTAGTAAGGACCACACGCCTGTCTAGCGTTTTCTGCGATTGCCTTGTTCTCTTTCGTACACACAGTGTCTCTTCGCGGATAGAAACGGCTCTTTGTTTCTACTCATGCTTGAAACAAAAAGGACATTTTTCGGCAGTTTTCGACTGTTTCTACGGTTTGCATGGCTTTTGCTTCACAAGTAACCCAACTACCGAACACTTCAAATTCTGGACCTAAATATCCACGATAAAGAACCGTGAACCATGTCTTTAACAAATAAAATTTCGTCGAAATGAATAGGGGAGAGATCAAGAACGGGAACTATTGAGCCGTTAATCTTAGACGTTACCATAGAGAAAACAAAAAAAGTAGCAGATGTGAAGCAGCACTGATGTAAAAATGGAAATCCTCACAAACAAATGAAATGCGATGTTGCTATGACGTTCAACGCAAAAATTGATTCGCAGCGACAAAAAGGATTCCCATTCACGATGGATAAAAGATTTCCTGATCTTCTTGAAAATGAAATATATTCCTGGGTACAAAAATCCGACCGATAAGCGAGATCTGTTGAACTGGCAAATTTTCCCATTGAAAATGTAAACGTAATGGTTGTTTGCGTGATGAATCACAGTTGGATGGAATGTGGACGGAACTGCCGGGCTTTCTGGCAAACAGTGCTACTCAGTGATAGAAAAGTTTCACATGAAACCTTAAAAATGTTTGCGAAATATCGACAGACACAGATATATCGAACACCCCCGCACCCAAATACGCAATAACACCCCATTATTATTTAAATTACATATTAAATATTGAAGATTTGAATTGAAGCACGTGTAACGTCGACGTCATTCTGATATAGAAGGGCATATAGAGCTGGAAGGAGCTCCATGATGGGAGTATCACCTCTTCCGGGCAAAAAGCGGTGGATTCCAACGGTCTTGGTGCTCTATGAAAGTTTACATCTTTTGGGAATAGCTCTCAAAGTCATCATTCACTGGTGGGGGGGGGGGGGCTAAACTTTAGTAGGTTTGCCCGCTCCCACTGAATGAAAGTGGAGAAAATAGCTCGCAAAAGAATGTTTTTTCGCGTTTCGCCAAAATTATATAAAAAAAAACCTATTTCATTGCATGGCGCCATCAAGAAGAAAAGAGAAGGTTTGGAAGGAGGTGAAGTATTTCGGGAGCATGGAGAACGAGGAAAGAGAAGAGAGAGGGAAGGAAGGGAGGAAGGATTGAGGAAAGAAAAAAAAGAGGAGGGACGCTCTGCGGTTGAGAGATCCCTGAGATGTAAGCCCCTTTTCTGCAATCACGACATGGCCGCAGCACGTGACAATCGAGCGCGCGGTCGCGGAGCGGCTAATT